GCACAACAAAATACCCTGGGCAAGCCAGGTCAACATTTATCAACCATAATTGGATGAACGGCAGAGTTAGCTAAGAGCTGAGCTCCCCAAAAGAACTTGTCCTGAGTAGGACTTGAACTTGGGCTGCTGGTGCAAGAGACTGTCTCTATCCATTGTAGCTCTGGTTAATGTTTTTGGTGTGGTGCCTGTTGCTGGATGTTTTAAGGGTAACACTGGTAATGTTGATTGGTAGTACTGGCTGAATTTCATTGATGTATTTAGTTTATAGACTGTGTTTCATGTTGCAGGGTTGGTGGTTATTTCATGTGACTTGATGGCAGGACTGTTATTGATGAGAAAATTGCTGTAAGTAGGAAACATTGCATTTTACAATCAAAATGATAATATTGTGTTGTAGCAACCAGTTAATGTGTGTTGTGTGGCATTTTGAAATGCTTGAAGCCGAGTGATGTTGGTTGATGGTAAAGTGATCATGTCTCAGATTGGGCAGGTGTAGTCAATTATGGAACAACAAATAGTTTAGTAGGTATGTATTCCTTGGTGTAGTTAGACCTTGTTTTGCCCACACAATGTTCTGAGATGAATTTTAGTATGTTGTTCAACTCTGAGCTTTTGCTGTTGTGGTTTTGTGTTGGGGGATGAAAATGAATATTGCATCAAAGGTTAGGCATAGTATATATGGGTTGTGTTCAAGCAGAAATTCAAGTTGAGACCAAGTAATTGTTACTAACTTATTTGCTCAGACAAAGTATTAATGCTGAGCAATCCTTGCAGGAACCACAAAAGATGGGGTAAAAATCCCAAAATTTGTAACATATGTCTTATAATGTGGTAAGTCCACAGTTTAATGTGCCTGTTATTAATATGGTAGATGGTTTTACTCTGTATTTTTATCATTAGTTTGGCGAAGGTGGCTCAGCACTGGCATCAGGAGCTGCTGCTGGCGGCGCTGATGTCTCTGGGGCGTCCAGCTCGAAGCAACACATCGGGCTTGGATGTTCCCAGCATGGATTGGTGCCTGCAGGTGCAGGCCTACTGCAGCAGCACCTTGATCTGGAACATCCTGCTTCAGGACCTCGCCGCTGCTCTGATTGCATCTCTAGTTCAGAGGGTGGACTAAAGCAGCACAATAATGCCTGTCTCTTATACACATCTAGATGTGTATAAGAGACAGGGCATGAGTTGCACCACAGTTTTTTAGTTTATAGCTGTGGCCCCAGGTGTTGTTCTTGTTTCAAATTCTAGTAATCCTTCTGGGACCTTGTACAAACCATGAGTATACTTGTATGCNCAAGAAGAAATTTTTTTTATAATTATATATAGACACAGTATGTTTTTTTTTTAACTAAAACCTCCTGTTTGATGCTATTTTTGGTTTAAATCAACTCAAGATTCCATAAAACTAGTTTTAAAAATATTACTCATTACTAAAAGCCTGCAGTCGAGTGTGTGAAATGAGAGGAGCCAAGTACATAAACTTTTGTCCGTTTTACCATGCAACCAGTTGATGATTTAGGTCATTAAATAGACTCTAATCTTGATAAACTCGGCAAAATAAGGCTGGTAATGAAGAAAGATCAAACCCTCAAAGTATATATTATTTTTAAAGACAAATTGCTCTCAGAAAAATTTTTACCAGTGTTTTTTTTTTTGGCTCACTGAGTTTTCTTCAAGCACAGGTTTCTTTTCACTCTTACATAATTTATGTTCCTAGATAATAACTACTAGTGTTACAAGACTGGCAACTTTTGAGTTAATGTACTAGTAATAGTTGTGAAGTTTCAGTGCTAAGTGCAATTCTCCAAAAGAAATGGGGAAAAAACTGAGAAACGATGTTTTAGAGTCGAGCAATATACATAAGCCAAGGCACCCACCGCCGCCAAGGAAGAGGGGCTCAGCTGTTCAATGTCCCTTGAAGGCGGCAGTCGCTTGGGGCGGCGTGGATATGAAAGAGAACGACGAAGCCTATCGCTTGTTGGTGCCTGAATGCTGCGACATTGAATATCGGCAACCATTTTTCTTGAAGCCCTCCTAGGGGCTTGAAGACGTTGATATAGTGAGAGAGAAAAGAAAAGCTCATCTAGAAAACTCGTGATGGCTTCAGTTCAGTGAATTTCACATCTCTTTTGTGTAAGCATTTGTTTTAGGTTCCTGTTGGCGGATTTTAGCGAATAATATTAATTGATGCTTAACTAGCTCTAAAATGGTGATGTCGTAAGTTTAAAGATAAGTGATTACTTCTTTGTATGTGGTGCATTTCCAGAACAAGTCTCGTTTGTGCATCATTATCAATTTCTTCTGACTTTTACTGCTTATGGATTAATTCCTTTAGTTTGGTATTTTTATGTTGAAACACAACATACCCCACTCATATGGCGGCTGTTATTATACCCCTAAAACAAGGCGGTATAATCCTACTCAACCGCCAGATGGCCGGGAGCGAGCTTATTACCAACCCGTTTAATCGAGCGGCTGTCGTCTTGCTGCGCTCACGGCCAACGCATTTGTTGACGATACTGGGTCCTCGTTTTTTGGGTCGTATTTTGTCGCTGAAATCTTGCTAGCAGCTTAACCTGGTGTACGTAATAGCTCAACCTGGCGTACGAGGCAGGTCAACCTCATGGTTGAACTAGTATAAGGTTGACCTATGAGAAGCTAGTTTTAGCGGATGTAGTTCGTTGTTCTCCAGTGACGTCACTGATTTCAGTGACGTCACTGGCATTAACCAATCACCGAAATGCGATCAAACCAGTCAACCAATCCGTCATGGGAATGACGGGTTTGTTTACGTTTCTCGATCTCAGAGACGTAACAAGAAAGCTGAACTGAAAGACTGAATTCCTCGTGAGTCAACCTTATATAGTTCAACCATGGCTCAACCTGCTGTACGTATCATATTCACCCGGCGTACGTAGCAACTTAACTTGATGTGTTTAACTTGAAGACGTATGGTTTTGTGACTACGTTTTGAATTAGTAGAAAACACAGTATAAATTCTCCTAAGTGCCCCCATAAGTCGTTGCCGACCATATGTAGAATTAATGATTTTATGATTAATGTGTGTTCTGGCCATATGCATTTCTGTATGTGCAGAGTACGGATAGATTAAGTATATATTAAAAGGAGACTTAATAGTGTTTTTTTATCCACGAGTGTTTGTGATACTCCCGTGGCAATGAAATATTTTTTTGCATTAACAAACAAGAAAATTATAAATAAAACTTATATCCAGGTTTTCATTTTCACTTGTATAAAAGTGGAGATTATGCTATCCTGTGCAAACATGCGTTTCACTATATCTGTTCCAATGTTCCTGTATTCCAAGGTTACAATCTGTATGCACTAATTGCGAGCCCTGTCTCTTATACACATCTAGATGTGTATAAGAGACAGGTACTAGCCACTATAAGTGGCCAGTACTAGCCACTATAAGTGGCCAGTACTAGCCACTATAAGTGGCCAGTACTAACCGCCACTAATAATCGGGCAACTGGCCACGTGTTGAAGGTTACTGGCTACTTCAGGGGAAGTGGAGAGACGGCCAGTAGCTGTTTACAAGACCAACTTGCTGCCGTCTGATATGCTGAGAATTAGGGCAGATAAGATTGATAAAGAGTAACTTTGCGCAAGTTTTAAAGATTAGTGTGAATTGGTGAAAAACCATCGTTCACCATAGACTGTGAGGGATATTTATTTTTCGTTTCTAAAAAATAATATTTTAAAAATAAAATAATATAATAATATAATATAAAATCATAAAAATAATATAATATTGAACGAAAATGATTACATTTCTAAATTGCATTTATGTTAGTCACAATTTCAATAGATTTCGAAACAATTTCATGTCAAACCAAGTTCTAATTCCTTTCATCGATTTTGATTATAATTCATCTAAGTTGACGGAACATAACTTTTATCACCTGAATTTTCGGTACAAATGCCATTTTCGACGATTATTGTAACAAGCAACCCTGGCGTTCATCAGGAAATTATAGCTGGATGAATTTTAAACTTTACTTTTATCAATTCACATCACAATCAAAGAGCGAGACTTGTTTTAATAAAAATTCTCATACACTATTGATTTTTTGATGAACTTTTAGAATGAACACCAGGGGCCATGGCTTTAAACTAAAAAAACTGCGTTGTAACACATCCATGCGACAACATTTCTTCTCGCTTCGAGTCACCGACATGTGGAACAGCCTCCCTGATAGCATCGTTGACGCTCCGAGTATGAACATCTTCAAGAACAGACTAGATGAAGCTATGCAGGAGCATATGTTCAGTCTTAAATATCCTAGCAAATTACGGACCAGGCAATAAGTCTAGCAGCTATCTCAATCAATCGTCAGCTATGGAAAGATCGGGTTCCAAAGGCCGGATCCCTTGTGAATCAAGTCACGAAAAGTTCAAGAATCGGCAACAGGCCATGGGCCTATTTCTTCAGTGCCGACACTTCTATTCTAAATAAAGTAGTTTGCCACAGCTGCCAGCTGTTACGAATGATTATTTTTCATGAATATTTTATAATCAGCTTGCTATACTCTTATATGTTATGCTATGTTGCGTGTAGTGTTATGCTACACTGTTATTATCAAGCTATATATATATATATATACTGTTGTTATTATTTCTTCAGCATCCTATACTGTTTTGAGATATGGGAATTGATAGGATTGGCAAATTAAATGTTTACTTGATGAAATAGAATACAATCATTAATGAAACAGAACATATTCATTAAACAAAAAATAAATATTCATTAATCCATCAAAAAATATTTATCAAACAAATAAAGAAAATATTCACCTAACTTGACGATACAGAGATATTGAGTACACACAACTAAACAATAGTAAGAAAAATTTCCATTCAAAACAAGAACCGTACCTACTACTAACTATTAAAAATCAAAGTATATCCATACATCAAACTTGACAATAAAGAGAGATGTTGACTACACACAACTAAACGATTGCAGGAAATTTTTTTCCCAAACATTTCCATTCAAAACGAGAACTGCACTATACTTTACAACTAAACTATAATCAATCAGAATACATTAGTCAAACTTCAGAGTACAATGGACTGTTGAGTTCACACAACTGAACAATTGCAAAAAAAATTTCAAAATTTCCATTGAAAACAAGACCATAAACACAGAAGCTTATATAAATTGGAAATATTAATCTCATTTCCGTGGAAATATAATAAAAATCTTCATTTCTACAGCCTTTTTCTTTCTGCTTCCTTGTAAGTAATTTTATACTTTGGCACTTTCCACAGCATCCTCGTTGCAGCGAGTCACTACCTTAGCACTTATGAAATTCAGCCTCTATACATACTAAACGTATATAATCATTACCAAACACAATTATTTATTGGTTGATGACAATTGAGAAATTAGGAATCTTTATATACTAAGAGTATACATTTATACATACTCTAGCAGTCTAGCTAGTAGGAAGCAGTCATCCTCTTTCAACTGGCGTCTACGTCGCTCCTCAAGATTCTCTTTGATGTTCTTGATGTCATCATATAAAATGACAGCTTTTTCGAAGTACATGACAGTTCTTCATTCAGTAATTTTTGGTCAGCCAAGTTTGCAATTTTGAGAGCTTAATGAAACAACTCAGGCCATCAGCAGGTGTTGCTGTGGTGGTTGTGGCGTGTCTAGTGAGAGGGTAGAATTTGATGATTCGCCAGATAATCGAGACAGTGGTGTTTTTGAGGCGACTGTTGGTTTTGTAGGGATATTTCTTCGACAGTTTATTTCTTTGACTACTATTCAACATAAAACTACTCTCCTCAGCATCAACAGAGAATTATTCATCGTTCGTTCCTCATCCTCCTTATCATCCTCCAAGCGAACAGTTCGCCAGCGCCATGGTTCGTCGCTGCATCTTCGGCGGTTTGAATACAGCTCAGGATTATTTCTGATAATTCTACTGAATTTACTGCGGAGGCAGAGATCTGATTTTCAAGCTGGTCAAAGTCTTCGAGAAGACCCTGGATGGATTCTGATACTTCGCCAGCCGATGCTACGAATCTCGAGATTTTATTTCCAAGCAGGTCCGTTTCTTTGAGAAGACCCTGGATGAATTTTGATACTTCTTCTGTCGTTGCTATGAGTTTCGCGGTTGTTAAATGTTTGTCCACAGTACTTGGAAAGTGCCCTAAATCATCCATTATATCATTCTTTTGAACATCAGTAAGATGTGGACAGCACTGGGAGTACGTTATGATGGTCAAGCGGAACTTCAGGAAAGTGAATCCGGTGCATCCTGGAATTTTGGCAATATTGCAGATAACATTGCTGGCTATTTGGTCGGCGGTTGAAGGTAAGAGAGCTTGTGCCTCTGTAGTTGAGGAGCTGGGGGAAACAAACACCGGAGCAGCATTTTCTTTGTCCTGAGTGAGCCACGGCCGGTAAAGATGCACGTATGTCTGGAGTAATCGGGCATAATTCTTGCTCACCAGGATGTAGCACCATATTTTTTCTCCGGTGATTTTGTACCAGATGGCTTCTTTAGTTATTGCTTGGGGTTTCCGGAAGGATTCCATGTTGAATGTCGTTAACGCCAGGGAATGACTACCAGTTTCGATTCCGATCATCGTCATTAAAATGTTTCCTAGATTCATTGCATTGCTTCTCGAGGGTGCAACAGCAAGCAGTTGTGCTGGAATAGCAAAGCCTTCTTTATTTAGCAGGGCTACTTGCCTCACCTTAGCCAGCCATGACGCGATTGCGGGCGAATTATGGAGCTTACTTGCCGCCTGAAGTGGAAGTGGAACGAGCTCTTCAGAATGTACGTAAGGTTTTCGGTCATACTTTGCATAGCTCATCAGCTCCAGACGGTGGATATGATAGACAAAGATCGCGACCGATATCAAGGTCCTCTTCGAGGTATCGGGTGTGGCGATTCCTGCACTTTTCAGACGGTGTGAAGTCAAAAATTGGTTCAGCACTCGCAGGACTTGAGGGATATCCATGTGTTTCCCATGTCTCTTGTCCGTGTCTGATAGATGGTCCCAAACTATTGTCTGAATGTCATTCAATGACCTGTTCGCCGACTCCCTTCCTTTTGCTGTCTTGGCAATTTGCAACAGGTATACATGAAAGTTGTTCAAGACCTCGTTGAGTTTTGGAAATGATTCTTTGAGTTGTGCCAAGTTGTTTGAGGTAGCCACTTGCGAGGCCAACGCTTTTCCCTTTCTTCTCGCGAGCCGATCGGTTTGCTTGTTGTTTACCGCGAGAAAAGGCTGTGGTGATTGATGTCGAAGACTTTTTTGGTCCCTTGACTTTTGTTTTTGTTGCTTCATATTGAATTCAGAGCTGCTGCCGCGCATCATATCGCGTCTCATTTCTTCGACAACATCTTCCGGCACAAACTTGCCTATTGATCGGCCATTGATGGGAGTCGCGGTTAGCAGTACAAGTCGTTTGTGTTGCAGGGCTTTTTGCACTAAGACCTTAGCGGTCGCGTTATCCTTCTTGTGGGTATCTCTCAAGTGTCTCGCCAGCTTGCGCGACCGGTATGGCTTGCTGCACACTTCACAAAGAGCTACATAACGCTGTGTCACCGTCTCATTCATCGCAAGATATTTGTAGGAATACGGATTAGGAGCCTGTCTGACTCTTGAGACTGTTCCATTAGGCTGCTTAATATTCTCGTTTCCTCGCACTGCCCGATGACGTCTCAGTTGGTAGGGATGGTCTTTGGCTGAATCCCTGCTCACGTTTTCATCCTTAGGATCGATATTCTCTTTATACTCACCGCCACTTGACTCTGTTGTATCAGATAAATAACGTTCTGTCAATAAAAACAAATGCTCGTTTCATAGCCACAAAGAAGGAATCAGTTAGTGTTTAGTAATTTTTTTGAACCGCAGCGGTCGAATCATAACGGATAGTATATCATATCAAATTAATTAACACTTTGACTGCGATTGCTTCATCTCGTACTATTACTTCATTTGTTGTACTATTACGACTCTGCTGTATTAGATGAATCGGGTTCTGTCAACAAAACAAATGACCGCTTCAGACGCAAGGAATGAATGTTCACCAATAGTGTTGAGTCACAGCAGCCAAATCATCACGGGTAATATATGATCTAATCAAGTTAATTAATACCCTAATGTTAATTAATTATAGTTCGAATGATAACTCACCAGCCTGACATCGGAGCCTCTTCCTGTTCATGTGCAGCAGCTGCTCGGTGTTGCTGAGAACCTCATCGCCACTGCCCGCCTCCTCCGCCTGCTGCTCCTCTTGCTCACAGCTCGACTTTTCTGTGGAGAGCAATGAAGGCAAATGTTGAAAGCCATGCACAAGAAGAGAGAATGATTTTATTGCAGTAATTAGACAATTTTAAATGATAATAGATGACATGTATGAAATGCCTGTACTGGTAATTACCACTCATAGGGGTGGTGACAACTTGGGTCACACAGTCATTACTCAATGTCCTCAGCCTCTTCCTTCCTCTTGGAGTCACTTTACTGCACGGCTCCATCTCGTTCTCTGTCGTAACATGCAGCACTGAAGGTTCACCTAAATCCATGCTCATTGTCTCTTCCTCTGCTTTTCTAACTTCAGATTCATTATTATCCTCTCGCTGTATGCACCCCTTCCTTCTCATCCTCTGCATTTTCCTTTTCATTCTTCTTCTTTCAGCCTTTGTGCCTTTGCCATGCTGTTCATGATGAGAATTCAAGTCTTGCCTCAATGTACCAGCTTCTAGTGATAAGGGCAACGTGGGCTTTGACTCTACCTGCTTATCTTGGGTCTCTTTCCTTGCCTGTTTGCCATGAGTAGAAAAGAGTCTTAGAAAAATCAAGTATCACCATGGAGGCCCAGGAAGCAAATGCAAGGTAGGGCAAAGTTAACTGACAGGGACAAAGTCACACCAATTTCATTAGGATTCAATGTAGCCTTCATAAATCTGTCTATTACTCAATTAATTATTAACAATGAAATCATTACCAAGCTTGAATCAGTGACCAATGCAAGTAAAAAACGTAATGAGCTTAACACAATTACAACTGACAAACTGGCCTGAAAATCTATTGCAGAACAACACCATCACAACCAACCTGTTCCCCAGACATAGCAGCACCGTTCTGTGAGGAACGTTGGCAGCCACCGGCAGCCTTGGCTTTAGCTTCCACCTTGCCTGACCCACAAGATGACAGAGGTGGAGTTTGCTGGCAGAGGTAACAGCCAAGAACAGAATTTATTAACAAATTGTTACAAGGACATATTATGAATGCATTTTCAATTCTCACATGAAAATAGGACTATTTCAATGATGATAGTGTACATAGAACCGTATTAGTCAGGGCAAATATGTATAACCAGTTTTGCATAATAAAATGAAATTAATTGTACTCTATTTGTAGATACATGGGTTGGACACAGTATGAGTAACATCTGAAATTTTGATATTGTAATTTATAGATAAGATAGATATATAGATTGATTGATAGATAGATAGATGATTGATAGATAGATATAGATAGATTGATATTGCAATAAACAATGAAAACGTAACACATTTCTACATTTTATTGTTGCTGCTAATTGATATTTTATTTATGCAGATATTTTTAGTAAATTTTTGTCACTATAACCTCACCTATATAAATGGCAAGCCTCTCTGACTTTCAAAGAGGCCAAATTGTTGGTGCCCATATGGCAGGTGCTAGTGTGACAGAAACTTCCCAAATGCTTGATGTTTCTAAAGATACTGTCTCAAAAGTAAAGACTGCTTTTGAAAGAGAAGGAAAAACTTCCTCAGTAAAGCACAGGTCTGGCCATAAATCAAAGTTGTCTGAGAGAGACTATTGATGCCTAAATCGAACTGTGAGGGACAGTGAGAAAACCACAGTTGTTTAAATTACTGCATACAGCAATGTACAACTACAGAGCCCAGTTTCTATAAAGACTGTCTGCCAAAAGCTGCACAGATCTGGAAGAGCTACAATTACATAACCCCTGGTTTGAAATACAAATGCTTCAAAGCATTAAGAGTGGTGCAAAAGCCTCCAGAATTAGGCCCTTGAGCAGTGGAAAAATGTGATTATCTATGACAAATCATTGTTTACCTTCATTCCCAACCTCTGGTCAAGTTTATGTTGGAGACAGCCAAAAGTCATCTCATCCTGACCGCCTCCTCCCAATTGTAAAACATGGCAAGGGATCTGCGATAATCTGAGGTGCTATTTCTTGAAAATACAGCAGACCAATGATTTCTTTTTATGGAAGAATCAACAGCTGTGACTATTTAGGACTTTTGGAGGACCAAGTTCATGCAATAGTTCAAGCAATGTTTCCGGATAGTAACGCCATCTTTTAAGATGATAATGCAAAGATACATGCAGCTTGAATTGTTAAAAAATGGCATGATCAACATTCTAATGAAGTTGAGCATCTTATTTGGCCACCACAATCACCAGACCTGAATATTATTGAGCATTTACAGTCAATGACAGAGATGCCAGTCAGAAGTCAATTCCCATAGCCATTATCTTTAAAAGAGCAGGAGGGAGTTTCAACTGAAGAATGCGTTAAAATTCATTTGGAAACAACCAACAATTTGTATAAATTTAATACCTTGTAGAACTGAGGCTGTAATTGCCAAAAAAGGTGGACCTACACCATACTAAAATATATTTTGCAGATTTCTCGGGCATTTTCCTTATTTTGTCTAGCCTCTTATTTTGTCTACTAGTGTATATATAGCCAATCAATAGAGAATTGTTTAGTATAAACCATTCTCAAAAGGAAATCTCATTAATGTTCATGAACCTGACCTTTCTGCCTTTAGTCTTGCCATGAATGAAGATATAAACAATATTCATAAATATTTAGAAGCCAATATTAGATAATCAATGATAACAGGTATCTGGCAACTATATCACTTGCATTTCATAGGTTAAATCTTTTGAAAATATGTTATCTTCACTTACATGCTTTGTCTTAACTTGAATCACCTCTGAGAGAAGAGATGAGCTCTGTCTCTTGTCTCTGCAGATAGAAAGAAGCAATTTGGATTGACATGATACTAATTAAAGATAGCAGCACAATGACAAGAGTTAAAAAATAATTCAGTGTGTTCCATAAATTAGGTGGAATTTACTGTTGGTAACTTCAAACACTCTATTTCATAAAATAAGGAATATTTTTCTTTAAACTTCATCACACTTCATTAAAAAATTGGTGCAGCCCTAAATGTTATGCTTGCCACTAGTCTTGACTTTGCAAACAGAAGGCTTTTGCAGAAGGTTCAGCCCAGGCCACCAGCCCCTCTTGACCGCATCATTAGAGATTTTCTGCATCTCAACATGACATTCTTTTATACACCCATCTTATATTATGCTGGGTCCAGGTTAACACTTTGACTCCAATTGCTTCATCTTGTACCATTATTTCATTTTTTGTACTGTTTTTAGACAGGGTTGCCAGACGGTCATTTTTTCCGGACAAATTCCGTGATTTAGTTTTTCTCAGTTGCATTGGCCGGCTAAAATTTATGATAGGGGTACTTCCTAATTAAATTTTGAATACTGAAAAAATAAAATAAATGGAATTTTCATCGCAGAACCTACAAATAAACTAGTATATATTGAGTTATGGGCCTTTTTAGGCCTTTTTTTGTTCTCGGATTTGGCTGATTTTAGGCAACCTGAATTATGTACCACTACTTCTTGGAGAAATAGGTACATTTCGTGGTATGCATATGTACCACTTTGGAGTCAACGTGTTAAACTGAAGCTTGTTTATAAGTAAAAATAACTGCGAACAAGCAAAAAAGCACCTACAATCAAAAAGGAAATGGTGGCACTCTGCCTGTGTTCAGTTTGTTTCATAGAAAAACACCCTGTTGGTCGAGGTACACTGCCATAATTAGTAAGGTATTAGTTTTCAAACAATTGACAACACAATTAATTATTTCACAGAGAAGTACTGATTACTAGTAATATTCAACTCAGAATCATCACACGATGCTGGCTTTATTTAATTTTAACTCACTCAGGAGAGTATCAATTACCAAATAAGGCATAGAAATTAGACTTCACCTACAAATCATTTATTCCCAGTAAAAATGATAACTGCTTTGGAGATGTTACAAAAAGCTTTTAAAAATTGATTGCATGTCTAACTGTGAGTAAGCTGAGACATCATGGATGCTTTTTAAGGCTTCAGGTGGTTGTACATTGAAATCACAAAAACTATACTGAAGAATTTTAATAACTCAATAGCCTATTGGTACTCCATGCAATATTTAAGATTTATCTGTAAGACATATATATATAATCATTTAATTAATAAAAACAACTTGGGTATGTTTGTTAATCAAAACTTCACCACCTGTTTAGCAAAACTCTTGGTTTATTCTTTGTTATAAAATCCAATCTATATTTGCTGCTAATCAATAACTGACATATAAAAAAGATGATCCAATAACTATTACATTCAATAATAAATAAAGCCTGCAAATTTGTTTCGAATGTGGAAGTCAAGAGTTCAGTTCTAAGTTCAGTTCTTATTCTAATTTTATCTACAAATTCATTGTTTTATATTTGATTGTACAAGTAAACTTGGAGAACTATTGATTGAGTTGATTTTGCAACATCTATGATGATCTTATGTTTGATCTTTGGGCATTGTTGAAACCAATAAAAACAAAATGATGGCCACTCATTTGTATATTTTTAAAATGAAACATTTCTGTGCTATTAATAAATTTTTAATTGCAACTTCTATCTTTTTATAGTCTGTTCCAATATTAAATCAACATATTTTTTAGCAATGTTTCTATTCATTTTTTAACCAGTAAAACTGCCAATTCAAGTTTTTACACTAAAATTATACTTACTTTTTCAGATGTGTTTCTTTGTCTCTCTACAAAAAATTTGCAATTCAGGTCATTGATTAAATGAATTAATATTTATGCATTCATATGTTTTGGTTCCCAGTTATTAGAAAATGTAGCTTTATCAAAAAACACTCATTTTTATTTATTCATATATTCTAAAACTGGATAAACACACACAGCTCCATAAAAAAACTGAAATTAAAATCAATCGTCATTTATCTGCAAGCATTGACACAAGCTGTCTTTATCAGCAAGCTAGCATTATCTACGGTGATATGTAAACAATGAGCTGAACCCTGATCTAAATGGATTTATGAGGTCTGATTTGGAAAAAATGAGCAAAATGGTGAATTTAGTGGGTGAAGATGATTTACTGCTTTGCAGAATTTGTGGTAAAAGGTAGAGGCGGTTATTCTGTGTTCTTTTAGCTGAAATATCAGTTTCTGAATGTTGTAATTGAGATGTGTGACTCCAGGATCAGTACCGGTACTTGACTTCTGAGTAGGTAATGTGTTGTCTGAGCTATAAATTTTTTGATGTACATGTAGTAAATTCCATTCAAATTGTTATATTATCCAAGAGTATGCAGTGCTAACATGACTGTTGTAAAAGCAAAGAGGTTCTCTGTTCTCCCTGGTAGAGTTAAATGCACAGCCAAGGAGGAACTGTCAGTGACTTTAGGGGGAACTATATTACCATCCATTTTGTAGAATTTAACTATGTTGGCTTCCATGATATTCTACTAGTCATCTTGCAGGACTGAAAAATGAGCTAGAGGAAGAGTCTAAAGAATCTGTGCCTTGCCACTATGGGCTGTATTGTAAGTTGCATCACTCATACAGGCACCAGAACATTGGCACAATGCATGAAGCAACTGTTCAGTTCTGTGAAAGAAAGTAAATTTTGGGAGAATTTATCAATTTCATACTAAGATATATATATTTTTTCCAAAATGTATTCATGTATGCTGTAGCCCAATTCTGTGCATGCATGAAAATTTAGTATGTCTGGAAGCCAAGGTGCAGGGTTTGCTGAATGCATTGCCAATTTTTGGATCACCACAATTCTGGCAGTCTCCAAGATGCGTCACTGCATCACCAGCACTCTTCAAGATGGGTTGCAAACATAATTTTCATCAATTTTTTACAACACCACCTTATATGAGTGTATCTAGTTCTTGTAATTGCCCATCCTGGTATTGGTGACTAGGGAGAGGCGGTGATAGGTCAGTTTTTCCGGGCACTCGGTGCCACTGGTAGTTCTACAAACATCACTGGCTTGCTGACCTGCCAGAACCATTTTATTGCATTACACAACACCCTGGACAAGCCAGGTACTCATTTATCAACCAGAGTTGGATGAATGGCTGAGATGACCATGAGGTGAGCTTCCCTGATGAACTTGTCCTCAGTGGGGCTCGAACCCGGGAGCTGGGTGCGAGACAGAGTCTCTCATCACTGCACCACCACAGCTCTGTATCTTCAGCACCCCAGGTATTGCAGTGGAAAATTGCATTAAAACTGAAATTGCCAAATTTCGGATCATGCTTTCCATCCAATCAGAAACAGGAAATTTTAAAAATGAAGCACGCCACTGGTGTACCTTATGTTCAGCATTTAAGGTTGCCCGAGATGTGCGAATATCAAAAATACAATAATTTCAATCGAAATATGTTGGAAAGATCTTTTGAAGGTAAAAATGTTGCTGCTGATGTATCACCAAAGATATTCAGATATTCACCCACTTTCTGCACCCATCAGTAAGGGATGAGAAATTTCCAGTGAGGCAAGTTAACTGATGAACACAGCAAATATAATAACACTTGCATAGGAATTCATTAAAATTGGCCAGAATTTAAAACAAAAAATGAATAAATAGCACCTAAATAATTTACAAAATAAGACAGAAGGTCATGCAAAATAAAATTCAACATAAATCAGATTAAGTAACAAACCCGGGGCCATACTTTCAAAATTTGCTAAGTGAACGTAAGTACTTACGCTCTATTTTCTTGTCTATGATTGGTGGATTTTGCTTGAAGTGCCATCAATGATTGGCTGATGAACTTACAATCTCTTAACTTTTTTGAAACAATGGGCCCAGTACTGGATTTATTTACCTAATTTTTACATTTTTGCTAGCTTGTGCACCTTCTTCCTACTAGTACTACCTTTTCTCATGAAGAGAAGGGGAGAAGCAAGAAGCTGAGAACTCAGAAAGCCAGCATGGTCTCAAAATCATACACTCATGATTCATGTGTGGAATTCTGGATAGGTAATATATTCTTATGTCTATATAAGAAAATGGATCAAAAACCTACCACGTTACAACTTCCACACAACAACTTCCAGTGACAATTGATACACTGAGCTACAGGTAGTCATAAACTGCCACGCTTCCAATATCATGTGTGGTTTGCAATTCTATACCAGGTTGGCAACGCCCTACTTGATTACATTCACTAGTCATTTATCCATGTCTGACAAATTTTTGCAATGAATTTTCTAAAATAAAAAAATTATGGTATGTCAACCTTTGCAGAAAATTTTCGCAGTATCACCAATATTAGAAAAGTTTTCAAAACCACAAAAAATGATGGGAAAACTGCAAATATTTCACAGTGTATGGCACATCATGCTGTCTTTTTAACATATGACAAGATGCAATTGCAAAGACGGTGTTGCACACCTTGTTTTGGTAATGTTAAGTTTGATTTCACAATAAATAGATTTGAGCCACATTCCACACTGAGGTTTAAATGATGGAAAGTTGTTTCAAAATTTAAACACATTTAAACAAACATTGTTTTTGCCTTATTTTGTCAATATTGTCTAAATAACTTCACTTCAGATCCTGAATGATGAAATCATTCAGAATTGAAAGAACCATTCATCAAAATCATTCATCTCCCATTGCAAGTTTTCAAACTTCTCATGTCTTTTATAAAATGTTTGTTGTTTAGAAGCGGCAATTATTGCATTAAATAAATAATTAAGCATTTTGTATGCATGTACAATGCGGTGTATCAAATAATTTAACTCAATTTAATAAAATCTAATTTTCAATTCAAAAATTTTAATTAAAATTTTAATTTAAAATTTTCTATTAAAAATTTTAATCAATATTTTAAAAATTTAATTTAACCCTTTAGCAGGCAAGCATTGAAATATCCAGAAATTAAAATTTCAGAAACCATTTCAAGAAAGTAAGAAGTATTATACAATATAGGTATTTATTTCTATGAATTTTTGCAAATTTTGCCTATTGAAGGTTTAAATCGCACTTGAGGAATTCAATAAATGCGATCAGTACACAAAATTTTTCTTTATAATTAAAATTCAGTTTATGCAAATGAAAAATTAGAAACATAAAAATTTAATTTAATTAAATTTAATCAAGTTGCCAAAATAAATAAATATATATATTTATACTTCCACCTTTTGAAGAAAATGCGGAAAGAGCATCAGTTCCATTGTCCAAGTCAAAACCTTCATTTAAATGCTCATATTTCAATTTGTGGACTTTGCAGCTGGTGATGCTATAGATAGAATGATGGTCAGATAATTAGTGATTGACTGAGGCATTATAAGGATGCCTCAAAAACAAACAGGAAGCCGTGGTGATGCTTTTTGTGACAAGATTTCAAGTGATCATATATGGTAACTTACCCATGAAAGGGTTAATTCTACAGCTGCAGCCAGTAAAAATGAGCATCAGAGGGACAAAGGTAGCATTGTCATCCATACATCACATATTGAATGGCAATAAATCATGAAAGGAGTTGGTAGGTATTCTATTAGTCCCATCCCACTTATATATCAGAATTGAAATGTTGCTTCCATTCCAGAATATGCTCATGAATACACTTGTAAAAACTCCTGTAATACTTATAGTTAAAATGATAATACCATAACCATACTGTAAGTCTGTAACACTACAGTACTTGCATACCATAATATTATGGTTGAGTGGCAATGCCATACTACTGGCATTGGCATTGCCAACCGTAACTCAAAAAAGTCAGTTGTGCATTGCTTTCATTGCGTAAACGTGTACGAGAATTTTGCTTTTTTAAGGGGACTGTCTCGCGCAAATAATAAATCGTATACCTTTGGGCGGATCATTCTGAAATTCGGTACACATATGTAAAATGTAAAAGAAAATTGTTTTTGTTCGTGTGAATTTTTCGAAAGAAATGAAAGAAAACGTGAAATTAATAGAAAACGAAGAAATAAAGGGGTACTTTAGAAATCTATCTCCTCCTACAGTATATATGCTACAAGGTTGAGACACATGTCATTCGATCCGTAAAGACCATATCGAGCGTTCACGTGTTCAGTTTTTTCAATTTCGAATTTGTTCCTGATGGATGGGGATTTAAAGAAACGAAAAACAAAAATTCTCCCCCCCTCCCCCTTTTTCCAATATATAATCCAAACTATAATGAAATCAGAAAAACTATACATGCAATTTGTAGAGCTATTCCTTACGAATCGAATGATATATCTTCCATTGCTGTAGCTTGAAAACTGTAGGAGGAGATAGGTTTTCTGTGACAATAAGTTGAACTTTTCAGGACGGCGCGACAAAGTTTCGTGCGCCTCGAAATAGGCACTCAATGTAGCATGGATACCAAACTACAGGCTTCTGTAGCTTAATCCACTCAAGGATGCTAGCAGCAACTTGTAGCACACCTCTACGTACAAAGTTAGGAGGGTAACTGAGCTCAGATGCCAGATACACCAATATATGTAGTCTTGCCGCTCTAATTTTCTTAGGTCTATTTAGTGAAGGAACTCCACCCCCCGCCTCCATTTAAAGCCCGGCCGTGTGCGTCAATATTGACGTACAAGAATCGCAGTGGTATCGTTGAAAAGCTCAGAATTTCAGCTTTAAGATGAGACTAAGCATGTAACTGCAGCACAACGCAAGTAGAAACTATATTCAAAGATTTCAGCAGCTAATTACTTTATATCTAATTAGTTAAAGAACTCTCCCACCCGCTTCCCTTTAAAGAGACGTCATAAACGTAAATATTGGCGTACAGCTATGGCAGTGGTACCATTGGAAAGAGCAGAATTCCAGCTTTCAGATGAGCACAAAAACCGGAAAACGCCAATATTGAAAATTTTAGGCGAGATGGTCCCCTTAAATAGCTTTTGTGGT